TGAATAAAGAGTTATTGTGTCCCAAACTTTCCACCGTACATTTGATCGGACAGACTGGCTGGTGAAAAGAAAGGTATGGATCAAAAACATTATTATATGTCAAAGGGTATTCTCTTTATATAGTACCAAGACTGAATATACGCTAGAGAAGATAGGCAGTTTATACACCAACCAAGATAACTTAGTAGATAAACAAAAGGCTTTAGGCCTATATTGAGGCCTTTCCCATAACAAACAAACATGCAGGGCCTACACCATACATAAACCGGCTGGTTATGTGTCATAGCACAGACCTGTCACCTTCTGCATGCACATTGTCATGTATTGGGCACTGCATTCAATTATTTACCAGCCATGCATAGACCACGTTCTACTTTTCTAGGCCTAAGCCAGGACCCAAGCAGTCTATTGATTCTCACTATAAATAAATAGGGTCTTAAAAAATACTTATTTTGCATTTTCCAAGGCCAGTTGTACTAACTTCCTCCCCCGATTTGTCGAAAACATAATGTAATTTATGTATATTCAAAGAAAACTAAACATATTCTAATAATAAATTGAAACAACGGGGGCTGCCATCTTTGTTTCAAGCAATCTGATTGGACAATTGAGTTACTAGGTTTTACTGTGGCATACTAGGGAAATGAAGGAAGTTGCTAGGTTGTGCCATGGGTGTAACTGCTTACAAAATGAAAAGATTGGAATATCTAGTACAACAACAGGAAGCACACACATTAGTAACTACAAATTTGGTCCTAACTCAATTTTGATAAAAAAAAAAAAAAAAAGTGAGTTACTAGGTTTTGCCTAGTGGACACATTTGCGCGCACGTTTAAGAACCCTGACAGTTTGAATTAAATATAAGAGTAGGCCTGTGGGCGGCTGTCCGGGAAATTTTTTCTTCATAGAACACTGTATGGCGTTTGAATTTCGATAGGGTCCCCCCTGCCCCCCGACTAGTTTTTTGTTTGTTTTAATCTTAATCTGTGCCTGTATATAGGCATATTGATTCGTATTATGTTTGTTTCTGAATGTTGAAATTTAAATAAAATAAAATTAAATTATATAACATAAGTTAAAACAATATTTCAATATATAATCTTGTTATGATATATAACCAATAATGGATACAGTTTTGATAAAATAATAAAATACGGATTCGTTGATCAAGAAGGACAATACAATATATAAAAGAATTAATAATAGTGAAATATAATATAATTTAGTTTAAATAAATAATAGTTTCGTTCAAGATACCCGGACACGAACTTTTACACAAGAGGGACATTTCTCGGAAATTGCAAGCCTGTTTAACTAGATATATTTACTTTAGTGAAATATAATATAATTCAAATTTAAATAACAGTTACGTGAATCTCTCCTATACATATCAAACCTGTCCTGACATAAAATATTACACAATGAAACAGAACACCAAGTATATTATCTGGAGGGCTTAAAAGTCCAAATTTCAAGTAAATTAAGTTAATCCCCTATGTGTCTATTCCTCGAAATATGTTAAAGGGCCAATCCCAATAATATGTAGGAGAATAAAACTGCTTAATTTTGTGTTAAAATCCCTTAAAATCCTCCACCAAAGGGCCGAGCAACTAACTCAATATTTGTGATACGTTTTCAGACAATTTAACCTGTCAGTCTTCATCTGGAAATGGAGACCGGTGTCCCAAACTCTATTATGTGGCTTATGGATAAACCAGAAATTTACTTTATAAAAATACTGTGTAGGTGAAATTTACCTTCGGTTATCAAGTACAGCACATGGGTCATTCATTGTATAGACCTCTAAAGGAATGGGAATCGATTATCAGGTCACCCAACGAAAAAATGACCAGAAATCTTAAAAGGGTTACGTGTCCGGATAAGCATTTGTGAAGTTCACGTCCAAACGACTAAATATTGTGAGCTGAATGTTTGAGACAAGGTAAACACACCATTCCTCTATATTTTGGAGCTTAAATTTCAATCGTACTCAGACTTTTATTTTTGAGACGATCTGTTCAAATCGGAAAAGTCCCTTTAATATTTAAAGTAACATTTACTGATCTAAATATTTTCAAAAGCGAAATTCTATTATGACTTTCTGAATTATTAATCCATGTTTACTTGGATCATTCACAATCTATGGCCCTCCATCTTGCACCCAACCAACCAAACATATATAAAGATAATAATAATCCATTTCGACAACCTGAATCACTTCCTACTACACTAATTTATAGAAATCTTGGTTCCAATATAATTTGAGTAAATGATGTTTAAAGTTATCAAGACGATAAAGTCGGTATTTAGATCACTTGGCTTGACCATAATCAACGCTCGATGTCATCGCTAGCCTGCGATATTTACTGGATTAGAACCCGGTCTGCTGCTTCTGATTAATTCAAGTTAACTGCAATTTCAGCAAATTTCCTTTACATTATCTAGTTCTTAACTATTATAGTAAGAACTAACAGCACTTTATCTAATAAATGTGCATATATTAATGCATCTATAGTAAAAGTGCCATTTAAAATTGTAATCCTGTTTATATATATATATATATGACAAGGAAAGCTGTCTAGTCGTTCGGATGGGACGAAAAACCGAGGTCCCGTGTACACATTGGCGTGCACGTAAAAGATCCCTTGGCAGTTGGAATTCGATATAAGAGTAGGCCGTAGTGCCGCTGTCCGGGCAAAATTTCCCTCATAGCACACTGTATGGCGTATGCCCGTCTTCATTAGCCCAGGTTAGGAGCAGAACAGTAAGACGTTAAACTCCATTTCATTTCATTTCATTTTATATATATATATATATCTAACATATTCTTATTTTTCAACATTTAAGTCTTCATTATCCTAGCAACGTTACTTGTTAATCGAGACCCAGTCTTGCTACCCCATTTTTGAATTATATCATTAAATGGCAATCGTATTTTAATCCATTTGTTCATCTGCGCCACCCGGTGAGCTAGAGAGTTGCTTATAGGCTTTTCATGTAAATAAATGTCTGAATAGTAATTATATAACATTTAAAGCCAAAATGAAAACCTATAATGGGGAGAATTAGGTCTTACGTAATGCATCTTTAATATTTACTGGGGAAACCCGATAGGTAATTGTAACGCGTGACTTATTAATATACCATCGGTTATCTAAACACTTATGTATTTCATATTTCATGGAAGCTAGGCGTGTCAAGCTTTCTCCGTACCGCCAGGCTTTTTATTCAAAGTGGTTGGAAATATTGCAAGTGTTACCTTTATTATATCTTCAAGTCAAGTTTTTGGGTAAGTATATTGCTTTGTGCTGGAATACACGGTATTATTTTAGGCCCGTGGCCCTACTTTGGATACAATCATCTTTAATTTTAAGAAATTGAATTCTTTATTTATTTATTGAAATACACTGTACATTTATATATACGTAACTACAATATAAGCAGTATTACACACTAAAAGGACACACACTAAACAGTAATTATCACGCCGCACTACCCCCCCCCCCCCCACACACACACACACACCAACCACCCCTTATTAATCACAGAGAATAGGCAAAAACAAAAACAAAAATCTCACTTCGTTATACTCAACAAAATATCTGTTTTCCTTATTATTATTTTGTTGTCCTCTATACGAAAGTATACGTTATTATAGAGAAAAATACCCAAAACGTACTGTTAGTTGAAAGTCTACAGTGTAGGTCCTAATTGGAACCTACGGTTTAAACTTTTTCAAGTAATTGAATTCTCACTTTATTAGAATTTACGACAATGCTCTAGATTTGTGGACCTCATTGATAGAATTCTTTGTTGTAATTTGCCGGGACTGTACTTGGTGGGTACTCGGACATTGATTTGTTCAAGCAAGCGTTGTTGCGAATTCTCCCGTATATACAAGGTATCAATGTTCAAACACTCTTCTATTGCAATAACTCATGAGGGTTGGTTATCCTGAAAATGTTGCTTTTTCCCTAGTTTGACTTGGGTTAGTTTACTCTCTTTTACTTGATAGAGGAATTCCTTGAACTGAACACATACGTGATATACATTGCTTAAGGGGGAGGGTGGGGGGTGAGAAATGAAATTGGGTTTATTTAACGTACTGCTCCGCTCCGACTGGGCTAATGAAAACGGACAAACGCCATATAATTTGCCATCGTCTCGTATATAAATGTGTCTTTCTAGATCCGCAACGTTTGGCCATGGTTAAACGTGATAACTAAGGGAGAGGGGTTTTACATAGCCTAAGCCTATTCCCCAATCCCATTCAGACAACCTGAATAAAAATATTGTTTAAAATAAACAAAATTTTTTTAAAACCCAAACGACTCAATTTGTATAACTCTTCAATTTAAAAGATTACGTTTGGTATGGAATTGTTATGTTTTCCAGCTCACCCAACGAAAGCTTTGACCCAAAATCTTAAAAATGTTACGTAAACCGGTTACGTAAACCGACTCAATATTATGAGTTGAAATTTTCAGACAAGCTTAACACAATCTGATTAAAAAACAGATCCTATTTCTTTTGAGTTTTTTATAGTTCAAAATTTCGTTTTAATTGTCTTTACTATACTAGAATCTGGAAGAGTTGTTTTTATGTGACCCGCGTTCGGGTTGATATGAGGGATTATAGGCTGGTTGGAGAAGGTGACAAATCCAGCTTTGTGGGAAGAAATTCCTACCCAAATGATTTCTTCATTTTCTGAAACAACTATGTCCCTAGTGTTCCAGAAAAATTTTCCCCGTCGATCGGAGTTGAGCAAATTTTTTTTACAGCATTTTGAAATTTTGACCCCCTGGGTCAACATAATGAAACTGAAAACCATTTATAACTTCAAAAATATCAATTTTACAGCCTAGAAATGTATTATCAACATATAGGAAAGTGATACCAAGGACGACGTCACCGTGACGTCAGAATACAAAATGGCGGAACTGTGACGTCACTGTGATGTCAAAATTCAAAATGCTGTAAAAAAATTTGCTCAACTCCGGTCGGCGGGGAAAATTTTTCTGGAACACTAGGGACATAGTTGTTTCAGAAAATGAAGAAATCATTTGGGTAGGAATTTCTTCCCACAAATTTTCTACCTCGACCAGACTATATAGTCACACGTGGTTTTGCCATATTATTTTTGACGTTACCCCTCATACATTTGCTTGACTTCAAGTCGGAAATATCGGTAATTAGCGGGCAGAGTGAAAGGACACTATAAAGGCAAAAGAAACGACGTCTTCCGAAAAAATGGTTACCCAAAGTTTCAGATAACAATCATCACATTCTAATATATTACCTTCATATTTATTTAATTATCAATGAGCTAATAAAGTGTATGCATTCCTATTGTGCACAAACTGGTAGACGGCGTTTGGGGGAATTATTAATTACGTCCATAATAAACCAAAGTTAAAATTATGATGCTGATCATACCAAATCTGTTAATATTAAACATACCATTTGCCCCGTTTTCAAGACATTTTGCTTCCTTTGTAATAGGTTCATCAACAATTTGAAGTGTAAATGTAGCTTCATTTGTTGCGGTAGAACCAGATTCAGTCCACGTTAATTTGTATTGACCAGCATCCTGATGATGTACATTAGTAATTTTTAATCCAAATATATTGTTATTATCTTGTTTGACTCTGTATCCTGGCAAAGTTAACATCTGATTCTCCCAGGATTGACTTCTTAATCTGTACCATTTGATATCAAAGTCAGACGAGAGTTGGTGTAATGAACCACGCATGACTGGAGAAAACGTCACAGAATTACCTATAGTTGCATTCATCACAAAAACAGTTTTTTCCGTTATTAGTGTTTTCCTACCTATAATATACAATAACAAAGCACATGTATGTAGGCTATACTACTATCAAATTAGAATGCTTTACAAACGTGATTAGTGATCCTGACCCGTTCTTATTCTCAAAATTGCCACTGACTGGCGTTGATCGTGTTTCGGTTTAATTTCGATGCACAGTATAGTCAACCATTGGCTTTAAAGGGCAAGGGCATGTGACAGCTATTTTGTTAGATCGTCGAGAGGCCTGTGTAGCTTTAAAGGTTAGAAAGTGCAACTGCTGTTTACAAACTATTATTACATGTATAATTAGTAGATGATCAAATTGCCAAAGATATCTTTCAGTCTGAACCCAATTTGCCTATTATATAATTGGTTTAGTTACAAAGCAATGGCTGCAGAGAGTTTCATAGAGACACTGACAATAGAAAGTGAACTGACATGATTGCAGATTTCATATGTTGAGCAAGAAAAAATAATAGATAATTTACGAGCATTTTTTTTTTACTGGAGTCCAATGCACAAGTCAAACCGGCTGCCGAGCCAAACCGCGACATCGGCTACAGTTTTATCTACGGTATGAATCCTTGCGAATGTTTACGAATGTCATTGCAAATGCTTACGAACGCCTTGCGAATGAAACGACTACACAACGCATGCTTGGCGAATTGCATATAAACCCCGGGCCCGGTTCCTCAAAACTAAGTTATTTTAACGATCTATTAAACTCTAACGGATCGTTATCTTGCTAACGTATCGTTGTTAACGGTCCATTAAATTTATGTTGCTGAAAAGTCAATTTCGTTATTCTTTACCAAAGGGGATGATTGTTCATTGGCTGAATTTTAAATTTTTAAATTCAATGTACATGTACATGTATAACAACTTCATAGAAGTTTATTAACAAGGAACTGAAGACAATGGAACAACTGTGCAGTCTGTTCACAATGCTTGATTAAAGACAAAAAGATAACCGTAGATTCATCTTCAATAGAAGTTTTGATGTCGCATTAACTACGTACATCTTGTAAAACTCGCAGTCGTTGCTTCAGGAAAATGCTGTAGAATATACTACAGATAACACTATACAAAAAAACTTTAGAAATTTTAGCATAAATCTGTTTAAGTACAGAAACTGTAGAATTTTTGGGGCCATTATGTCCTTCAGGCCCCTAAAATTCTGTGGAATACTGTAGAATTTCATCCTATAGAAAATGGAATTGCCCCCCACCCTCCTTTCGCCCAACCCTCTAGAAAGTTGTATAGAAAATTACACTTGTAATCTATGAATTTTAGCTAAGGGTATACTTCGACTGACATCCGACTAATGCCATCGTTAATTAGATAACGGGACCCAACACCTCCGTTAAATATAACGGCAAGATAACGACATGTTAAAGTTAACGAGGCTTCCAGCAACAGACTTTCTCTCCATTAAAGATACCGATTCATTAACTGCATGTCAACGAGTCGTTAAATGTTAACGGATCTTCGAGCAACCGGCCTGTGGTCCATATTTCTGCTCTGTCAATGAAACTGCTCTCACACAGTGGCGAATATGGTGGCGAATGGGCTTGAAATATATCTAAACCTGACGCCCGATGACTGATGGAAGTGTAAACGAGTGAATGCTAAGCGTTGAATGAGTACATATAACGAAAACTAATGAAAATGGACATACGCGTTATCGTGTCCTATGGGGGCGCTACCTACTCCATCGTGTACGCCACGGGACACCGCTTTTTTCGTAACATCCGAGTGATTAGACAATTGCTAGGTCCTCCGCCATGCACCACTTGCAAGGGGGAAACTACACCTGAAAAATTCCGAGAATGTTTCTCGGCCAACACGGAGAGCGAAACCGAAACCTGTTTTACTCACTGGACCACATTGGCTCCCGTACAAGAAAGGAAATCTACCTTAAAATCTAAGTAAAATTGAAAGATTAATTAAATATACATTATGTAAGAGCTAATTAAATCTGCCAACTTTTCCAGACCATAATCAACTCTCGATGTCATCTCTAGCCTGCGATATTTTCTGGATTAGAATCATGTCTGCTGCTTAACGCTCATTGATAATAAAATCAAAAACTGGATAATCGAAGCTATGTTTTTTATCGTACCGAAATTAATAATGATGATCGAGGCTAGACCCAAAATTCAATCGCTATAATCTTGGTTCATAGTGGATCGATTTGACTGAAATGTTCAGCAAATTCCCATGACATTATCTAGTTTTTAACTACTAAAGTGAGAACTACCAGCTCATTATCTAATCCCCCATGATGTTTCTTTAACTTACAGTTTACTTTTAGTGGGCTGAAACTCAAATCAAAACTGTTAACTCCTCCACCGTCTGCGATACATTTAAATGTGTCATAGTCATCAGAACACTTGACTATCAAAGCAACTGGGAATGTGGTATCAAGCGTATTGTTGACAGTGAAAAGACTTCCTCTTCTGGTACTTCTCACCTCAACATTTATTCGTTGGGAATCTGTATGGCTAACATCACATGTTATCTGCAATTTGTCGCCTACATCTAGTCTTGTACTGTCAATAGATACTGCGGCATTGATGTACGGAGAATCTGTAATAGAAATTATAAGCAAAAAAAGACATGAGTATTGGAATGGTGCCAAGATGAAGTCATTTGCATTTTGATAACAACTGCAGTCTGCACATTGACATATCGACTCGAAAGGTCAATTACACGATAAAACACAAAGTTGTCTATCGTCAACGTTTTGTCTTGACCAGAAATAAAATAGGCAACGCTAAAAACTAAATTATACATGATTCACATTCAGCTTTGACCGTATTCAATTCGCTTAAGTCTCTAACTCAATATCATCCAAAGTCTTCAACACTGACGTTGTGATCTTACCTGGAAGAGATGGGCTTCTGATATCCAATATTTAAAACAAAATAAACATTTTACCTTTGATACACGAATCGTGTACCATAATGCGTATGCAGAATAAATACTATCGGTGTAGACTGGAATAATCAGACGCCAGAGATTGCCATTCGATTGAGACTTCTGGCGTATTTCGCCGAACCTAACTGATTTGAAATTAGAGTAAAAACGGAAACGATTGTGTCAATTTCTAGGTCCCAAATATTATCGATTTAGCTCCTTTAAATCCGACCCTTGTTTGAAACAATCTGTGTGTTCTGAATAGATTGGAAATCTTTTTTTCGTTTACATTTATTGTGCCCATGTTTATGTCTTATTCTTTGCTCATTTTGCCGGGTCCTCCGGTTTTCTCCACATTATTCAATCTGATTAAAATACAGATCTATATTTCGTTTCGTTTTTTATGCGCCCACATGTTTTGGCTTTTTTTACAAGAGTCTTATCCGGAACAATGGAATAAATCAGACATAGGTAAATACAAATTCTTACCCGTAGGATTTAGATTTATTTGTTTAGACATGGCCCCATGGAAACAGGTCCACGGACCATCATTTTCTGATTCTTTCATCTTCAAAGAAACGCCGATAGTACCAGCAGTTGTGTTGACGTCATATGTAGGATCACCAACAACTGCGGGATTATTAATTGTACACCCTCCAGCATCGTAAGGTGGCGAACAAGAGAAACGGGTTTCTTTGTTATACACCCATCTCACCGTATCTGTTATTTTGCCTATATTACAAGTTAATGTACTTTGACGGAGATATCTCAGTGGTTCTGGGGAAGTTGTGGTTGTTATTTCACCTTAGTAAAAAAAAATAGCAATTAATATACATATATGGGCTTCAAACATGGTTGTTAAACAACGGGATCCTGGTTATTCTAGCGTGTCAATCAACCACTCACACAAATCAGGTTTTCACTTTATGTTGCAATGTTAAACATATCACAAACCACCCGATTAGATTTTATTACATACTTCGAGGAGGTATTTGTTGAGTAATAAAACTTTCTAGTAGTTTATCGAGGGCTGGCCGTCCTTACCGCACGGTACAAATAAAACGTTCTAGTAGTTTATCGAGGTTCGGGTGCTTCCGGAGTCCAAAATGGCCGCTTTATATAAATGAGAATTTAGGGGATAACTAACCCGAACCCTAACCCCTTTTAAAAGACTGAACTTGGGTCTAATTTAGTTTTTACTTCTCTTAAAAGGGTTAGGGTTAGGGTTCGGGTTAGTATTCCTCTAAATACTCATTTGTATAAAGCGGCCATTTTGGTATGAGTTCTGGCTTGTTCTGGAATTTGTTGCTTCTAGTGGTGATAAAATTTGTACCGTGCGGTAAGGACGGCCAGCCCTCGATAAACTACTAGAAGGTTTTATTACTCAACAAATATCTTCTTGAAGTATGTAATAAAATCTAATCGGGTGCACCGTTTGAAAATCGTCCTTGCTAGAGTATGGGTGAATATATGCAGACTAAACAACCTTCCTCACTGTTGAACAAACTTGGTAAGTCAAACGAATGAAAGTTGTTCCAACCTTGACTTGCAATCCCCTTGTTGTTATAGAAATAGGTCCATAGTTAGAATTCGCTAATTGATTATTCCTCCAACCTTAACTTTGTCATAAGTAATTTTGAATCACGGTGATTTATGCCTGTCACGTGTCACTTGATTCGAGAAGCGTACCGGAGAATATATTTTATTATTCACTGTTTATCGACAAATTCGGTGTTCTGAACTTTTGCCTGTTCATTAAAGCTAAGGAGTACTGACGTTAAGGTTAAGCCTTGTCACATCAACAATCAAGTTTCACCATGAGTTATTGAGTACAATAACATCCAATACCTATTAAAGTGAGAAAAAAACTGTCATTTTGAACTCTCAATACAACCAGAAGTAGACAGAAGGGTCATCATATATACAAAGCTCAAGGGCTACTGAAAGGTTAGGTCACCAGATTGAAGATAAAAATACGAACAAACCAGAAGTAAACAAAATTGAGATTCAAAAACCGACTATCTAACATCTGTCAATCGGAGTAGGTTCAAAACCAAAAAGGTTTTTGAAAATCGGTATCAAAATAGCGACTGCATATCGATTTGAAGGTGTTTTTGAAAAATAAATATGGCGGCAAAAGGGTTAAAATTGTTATGGAACAAAGTCTCAGAAAATGAAAGATAATATCTGGGGCTAACACTAACATATATCATTTTTAGTTTATTTTGAAAATGGAGAAAACTATTCATGTTCGATGAAAATTGGAAGACCTTGGTAAGCCCTTGCACATACACTGATCATAATTAAAGTTTTCATAGAATTGTTCTCAAATGGCCTGTTTGGTGTTTAGAGCTCTGGTTTGGCAGTCACTTGTGCGTTATGGTCACACATTTGATTCCTTATTGGGATGGCATGTCTTCAAACAAGATATGCCGCGGTGGCTCAGTGGGTATGGTGTTTATTCAGTAACCAGGAGGTCCGGTCTCCGGCAAGAAAGTTCCCCGTGTATTTTCTTGCCCGGTTTCCCCTCGTTGGTTATACAAGACGGATGGCCTGTCGATGAAAAACGCCTAATCCTTCGGTTGGAATAGAAAACTGGGTCCTATGTTCACCAATGGCAGCACGAAAAAAAGAGTAGGGCGTAGCGCTGCTGTCCGGGCAAAATTTCCCTCATAGCGAAGTGCATGGTGCAAACCCGTCTTCACTAGCAAAGGTACCGTACAGAAAAGCAGAACGTTAAACCCCATTTTATTTTATTTTAATGTCGAATAAGGTCAAAGACAAGTTAAGACTCGGCGTTCTTTGTTAAAAACTTAGAGGTTCAACGCTCGTAGCCACTATCGGACTTTGCTTGCCCTACCACCACCTATTCCAGCCCACAACAACAAATACGCCCAGAAACTTTCAAATGATTGCTTTAAATTCCTTTACTTTTAGTATTTGTATACACCCACATTTCGGTTTGGGCATATTATGTCGCCATCCTTTCCGTCCATAAATAATTGACATGTGAACGCGATAGAGGATATACTTTTTGACAGATTCTTTTCAAATTTTGCTGTAAGCATTGGGGTCATGAGAGGATGAACCACAACCTCCCAGAACTAACGAATTGCTTGTAAACGCAATAAATGATACCGTTTTTGACGGATTCTTTTTAAGTTTGCTTTGAAGCACCGTGGCCATGAGAGGACGACCTTGTCGGTTTTAAGAATTCCACGATGCCCCCTTTACCGAAGACTTTTCGAACGCGAACGAGGCCATACTTTTCGGCAGATTCTTTTAAAATGTGGTATGAAGCACGCTCAGTCTGATTGAAACACAGATCCTATTTCGTTTCGTTCTTTAGAGTTAAAAATTTCGTTTTACTTGTCTTTACTACACTGGAAGAGTTGTTATCATTTAGTTGTTCTGGATGACGTGAGAGATTAGCCAATGAAACGGTCTGTTACGCGAGCTTGTAGTGTGAGGTGTACGGAACTGTGGGTAATCCACTAGAAACATCAATGTTGATTGGTTAATCAAATGTCTAACGTCATACGGTAAAAAGCCGTTCGTATAACCTCAATTGCAGACTTGCTACCATGATGTCATTCCAATAACTGTGACAGTCTGGAGGTCGGGTGTTCGATCCCTGCATTGGCCGAGAAATTTCATCCAGATTTTCCGGCGTGGTTTCCCCTTATCAGTGATGCAGGATGGAGAGCCTGACAAGGACAGCTCTCTAGTCGTTCGGATGGGACTAAAAACTGAGGTCCCGTCTACACATTGGCGTGCACGTAAAAGATCCCTTGGCAGTTGGAATTCGATATAAGAGTATGTCGTAGCGCCGCTGTCCGTCTTCATTAGCCCAGGTTAGGAGCAGAACAGTAGGACGTTAAACCCATTTCATTTCATTTCATTTCGTGATAGTCATTAAACATACATTATGCAAGAGCTAAATCTGCCTATTGCAGGCCTTTCTTTAGGTCTGAAATGTTATCTAAATTTTTAATTAGACATTAATTAATTTATCCAGACCATACTCAACTCTCGATGTCATGGCTAGTCTGCGAAGTTTACTGGATTAGGATCTGATCTGCTGCTCAACTTTCATTCATGATTTAATCATGAAATGGATAATCGAGACTATGTTCTTTACCGTACCATCTTTCGTAATGATGATCGAGGCTAGCCCGAAAATTCAATCGCTAAATTCTCGGTTCAGAATGGATCAATTTGACTGAAATTTTCAGCAATTCCCTTTACATTATCTAGTTTTTAACTATTATAGTGAGAACTACCAGCTCTTTATCTAATCACCCATAATGTATGTTTAAGGACAAAAAAAACCCAACCAAATATGTATAGGGGTGGGGGCATATGTTAGAATATTTCTTTACCAATTACATATATATATTTTAAAAAATATCAAGAATAAAGTCGTTTTTGTAACTAACCAGCGGCTGCCAGGCAGGATAAGCCCACAATTTGCAAGAGATAAATAGAGAACAAGCTAAAAACAAACGCGATTTTTTTGTACAATCAAGTGCAATAATCCAGAAAGTTATGGCCTGAAATGTGCAAATATCATAAGTGACTAAGATCTTTGGGATATAAAGATATGTTTTAAGTTTCATCAAAATCGGATAAAAATTGTGATCTCTATGGCGTCCACAACGTTCGTATTACACACTTACACACAATTTGCATACAAAGAGCGGCCATTTTGTTGGTCAGTTTCATTTCGATTTTCCAGAATACGACTTAACCTTCATTATTGTGGAATGGTGATGTATTAAAACGGTTTTTAAAATCGGAAAAAAAATTGTGACCCCTTGAGAATCCGCAAGCTAAAAATGCGATTTTTCGAACAATCAGGGGCTATAATCCAGGAAGTTAAGTTCGGATATCCGCGATTATCAAAAGGAACCAAGATCCGTCCTTAGGGTGTAACGGTGATATATTCAAACGTTTTTTTTTTAAATCGGATAAAAATTGTGGCCTCTATTGGGTCCACAAGCTAAAAACGTGATTTTCCGTACAATCAGAGGCCATAATTCAGGAAGTTATGGTCCGATATGCGCGAATATCGAGGAGCCGGGATCTGTAGGTTATAAACATGCATTTCAAGTTTCATCAAAATCAGATGAAAATTGTGACCTCCAGGGGGTCCACAACCCTGATATGCAATATTTTGACACTATTTGCGAATGAGGGGCAGCCATTTTGTCCGCCAGTTTCGGTCCGATTTTTACGAAATTCGAACTCAACCGTCCTTGGGTTGTAACGGTGATATATTTACACGTTTTTTAAATCGGATAAAAATTGTGAACTCTATGGGGTCCACAAGCTAAAAACGTGATTTTTCGTACAATCAGGGGTCATAATTCAGGACGTTATGGTCCGATATGCGCGAATATCGAAAGGAACCGAGATCTGTGGGTTATAAACATATATTTTAAGTTTAAACCAAATCGGATAAAAATTGTGACCTCTACAGTGTTCACAAGCTAAAGACGTGATTTTTCGTGCAATCAAGGGCCATAATCCATTAAGTTACAGTCCGATACATGACAATATCGAAAGGAACCGAGATCTTAGGGTGATAAACCTATATTTCAAGTTTCATTGAAATCGAATAAAAATTGTGATCTGTAGAGTGTTCACAAACAATTGTGGACGGACGGACGGACAGGGGCGACGACAATATACGTCCACATGAAAATGTGGGCGTTTAAAAATGAATACGGAACGAGCCAAACCGGGTAGTGTGGGTGGGCATGTTCTAAATTTTAGTCTTTGTCATTGTAGAAAATTGTTCATGTCTCCAGTCTCAGCGTTAAGACAAGTCGAGAGGCTCCTGCGCTGGGGGTTCTCTCATCCCGGGCGCGAGAATATATTTAAAAAACTTACTGTAAATCGTGCTTTCTAGATTATATCCAAAGTACCAAACGTGCAAAGACTGATAAATTGTTTCAATGATTTAGTACTTGAACTGGAATATACAGGTCAGTTCTATGGAATACAATTACTGCTTATTACTGAGCGACGTTTCGACTAGGCTGCTCTAGTCATTATTGCTTGATAATAACTAGAGAAGCCTGGTCGAAACGTCGCTCAGTTATAAGCAGTAACCACATTCCATAGAATTGACCTGTATATTGCCAAAGAATGCTTTGCTTATCAAATCATCAAAAAAAAAAAAAACAAACCCCACATAAATCGGAGATTAAAAAGACGGACCCGAAACTAAGTGAGAAAATTACTTCAATAGGACTCCCTCGTTTAAATCGGCCATGAACGTTTTGGCCTGATTATAAATATTAGAATAAATTAAACACAAATTAAATACTAACCTCTAATAGAATTAATAGTGGAAATAAGAACGACTGTCAATACTGTAACGCTGCAAACATTCATTTTGTTCCCTTTTCCAATTAAGACTAAAACACAACTGCCCGGTTGCACCCTGTCATCATAAGACCGCTAGATTTGTTATATGTGGACAGTAATGTATTCACTGTTGAGCAATCTTTGTATACATTATTGCGAAATAATAATCTAAGGGTCGCTTTTATTTAAATAGTACAATCGATATGAATAACCATGGCATTAAAACATTTGACGATTTTAGTCAAGTATGTCCCGTCTCTTTCACTCAGCTCACGTGGTCATCATATCCAGGTAGTAATTCTATCCGACCACACCCTAACTACGAACACGTTCTTGTATAGATTACCGACCCGACAATGCAAAAGATAACGAGTTATATGAGAAAAAGGTTATTGATAACTACAGTAGGGTTAGAGCAACCTTTTATTGGGACTCAGTATTTAAGAAAAGCACAAGGAGTAGTCTGCTTGGTAGCTTCAATGATCTAGGGTAAGGGTTAGGCTATGTGATTCATAAATACAGTCAGTACATACGAGGTAATCGTTATTCGTAAACACTGGTTATGAATAACCTCGTCCATAATATTAATATTTTACTACAAAAAAAAGTATTTTTGTATATGTAAATATATGGTTGTTTTTATTATGTGTTGTAGGGCATCATGTTCGAATCCTGTGGGTAAAGGTTCAGCTGCACCATTTGCAGCAGAGTAAATCCGGTACTTGAATTAAAAACTCTGGTGCCCTCTTCCCTTGATGACATAAAAGGTAGTGTACGAGGTCGCATGTGCACTCTTGACAGTTTGAATTCGAAAAGTAGGACGTTAGACCTCATTTCATATCTATCTGGTACAGCTCTATATATGCGTAAACGCGAGGTTGCCATAGATATTTGATCTCAGTATTTACCCTCCTTGTAACGGACTATTTCATTGACTCTGCCAGACTGTCGTAATACTCACGACTAACAATAGTTGGTATTGCCTGACTGCGCGAAAAATATATTTTTGTTAGTTTGTTCTCTGTGTCCATTTCTTTCAAAATGTGGGCGTATCTTGCATGGCAACGGCTGGTCTCTAAGTCCATGGAATTATTTGATCACCACCTCTAAAATTTGTGATGGAAACGGTATTGTTAGACGGTTCAATGATCCCAGAAAACAGGCAAGTAATAAAAAAATATTGACCGAATGGATTTGATATTGTAGAAGTATCCTTCAGACACTATATTTGAGGAGCAGAACTGACTTTTCATTTTGCAAGCCCCTGGAGCAACTGAGCAAAACGGACAACTTCGATATCGTAACAAAAATCATCATTATTTTTTGATCAACAAGCATATCAGTAATGAGACAATAATCCTGGTTAAAAACAAAAAATTAAAATCTTTATTAAAATCGACCAGGAAATATTTAACTGATTACAAGTATTGGTATAAATTAAATAAAGATAGAATTCTACCAATCTCAAATACAATTTATAATAGAACTAAAAATAAATGCCCAAACTGTAATGATGTAAGCATTCATTTTTTGCAACATAAATTATCTTGCATTTATAAAACAGACATCTTTGAGCTGTTTCAAGACTTGAGGACCAGAGGCCTGTTTCACAAAATTTTAACTAAGATAAAATCCAAATTTTAGTAATTTGATTGGATAATATTAGATTGATTTTAGTGCTTAGCCAATCAAAATTGAAGTATCTGCTAAAATTTTGATTTTATCTTTAGTTAAGATTACCCTGCCGCGTCAAATACCTTCAGATTTGTTACGCGTGGAAAGTACTGTCACTGTTGAGAAATCTCTATATACTATTGCGAAATAATAAACTAAGGGTCGATTTTTGTTCAAATAATGATATTGATAGTGGGATAAGAAGAGCTGTGGAATATGATATAGCTACTATGCGAAAGAATGCAGAAATGTTTGCTTAAAATCGTCAGGATAATGTATTAGTTTATTTAGTCGGATATATCTATATTTCGTAAATGTATAAATTAAGTATGTACTTAAAGAGCACATAAGATGAAAATCCTAAATTGCATGTACTTATAGCCAGTGGTTACTATATGCACTTTGCGGCAAGTTAATATTAATCTGATTAAAATTAAATCAGCTATCTTCACTCAAAGTCGCAAATATAGACCTCCCGTAAAAACGACTTAACAGTACAAATACATTTGGTTGGTAACCATCTAAATCGAATAACAGATTGAGAAGGGTATTCTAACTATTTTTGTGTATTTATAATATGGCAGGTGTAGTGTCGTTAATATCTGTCAATAATCAATTAGACTAAATTTGCTCAGACATGGGGTCAGGAATTTAGAATGTTGATTAGGTAGACATAGCAAGGTTTTGGGGCGTTTGGAAAAGTGGACCATGAAAAATTTATGAAACATTTTCTTTTTATTTCGCTTGAATAATAATAGTTTACCCTATCATCTTGTAATATGTGGGGAAAATATTTTCTACAAAATATTATTCTGTGGTGTTTTTACCACAAGAGTTCCACAATATATTGGACTTTCAAAAATTTCTTCTCAGACCCCCATTCCACAAAATTTCTGACTTACAATATAGTATTTTGGGTCTGTGGTGTTTTTCGCCACAAAACGTCCACAAGAAATTGGACTTTGAAAAATAAAATCAATTTTTTCCAAAAATTCTTCACAGCCCCCCCCCCCCCCCATGTGCCTGTGTGGTACCACATTCCACAAGATTTTTGATAGAGTGTTTTGGGTCTGTGGAGTTTTTCACCAAAAGAGTTCCTCAAGAAATTGGACATAGAAAAAATATCATTTTTCAAAAAATGCCTGTGTGGTACGACATTCCACAAAATTTTCGACTTAAAATAATTTTGATACAGTGTTTTGGGTTTGTGGTGTTTTTTTACCACAAGAGTTCCACAAGATATAGAAACAAAATCATTTTTTTCCAAAAATTCTTGTGGAACTCTTGTGGTGAAAAACACCACAGACCCAAAACACTCTATGAATATTTTTTGACGAACGAAAAAAAAAGTTACGGGAGGACTTCTCTACAAACATTCCCCCCCCCCTCCACAACTAATCGTTGAATCGTACACACGTTAATTGTATAGAATACAGCTGTTTATAATTATTATTTACCCATAATCAATTAGCTTTGTTCACCGATGTTTTTGTAATAATTAGGGTGACCCGTTCACCGTGCAGAAAGTTGGTCTCGACACGGCGAATGTACACGCTTCAGTGGCTTATCTTGAAGTGATTTCTCGCATACACTATATACGCACTATGATAACAGTCAGAGCTAGTGTCCATGATACTATAAATAGCCATCGCACATGCAATTCTCTACACATCTATCAACTATTACAGCTGTAAAAAATCTATTGTTGACGATTCTGAATAGCAGTAATATTTAGCGTAGTAGTAATATTTAGCGTATTGACGATTCTGAATAGCAGTAATATCTAGAGTATTAGTTATTACAGCAGGTTTGGAAATTACGTTCGTTTTATTTTTTTAATTGCTTTAAAATTAACTGTACCATTAGGAGCTGCATCTTTTGGTTTAGTACAAATAATATCTCTGAAATACTTGCATTAGGCAAGAACATGATACTAGCAGTAGTTTCATTTTACTTTTACAGGGTTCTGAAAACAATTGTTGAGTTGCCCAACGTGCGGGTTTCTAAATTCAATTTATTGTTCCAGATTTCTGTTATTTTTCGTAAAAAAGTAGTCTTGATTATCCCGGCCTCTTAATCAAACGTAGAATGGTCGGTAGACTGGTTAAGCGATATTACTTTCAAAACAAGGGCACGTAACCTATTTTTTACTCACACGTGCTCGGATGTTATGGCCGACACTCGGAACCATCTTTCAGTGTATTATTTATCGATGATTAAATGGTCATAGCTTATTAAGTACAACATGGCCGTTTATTTAGTGACTATAAATGTGCCAAACAGATTTAAGGATTGGTATATATATAAATATTGTTATGTAATTGTTGAGATATTTATTTATGGTGGGGCACCCTACATTTAATGTATCCTCGTATTATTTGTTGATTGGGGTTTAGGCAACATTTAATTAACCTGGTATGAAATCTAAATATAAATTATTCGATGGATAAACGTTTGTGATAAGATTAGGTTCATCGTTTAACTTCTTTGTAATAAAGATATTTTACAATTACATTGACAGTTTAATCACTCACCAAACGGCATCACGAACTTCACGTATGATCACGTGTATTTGATATTCCTGTCTATGAATCCGATGCAATTTTCGCGCCAAAATTTAACCTGAAATGTGTATTTGATCTGCTCAGTAGTTGGTAAAACATAAACGCCATCTGTTCTTCTCAAAGAAATGAAATCCAAAACCAGTGAAAAAAGCATGCACACCCATATTTTCCTTAAAAGTTTTTCCAAAGCCCTTATGGTCATGATCTACGACTTTATATTGTGATACTCCGCGATTATTTCATAAGACGTATGGCTTTGAAAGACGTAAGCATCTCCGGGTCAAGAGAGGTTAAGATGCCCCCCCCCCCCAAAAAAAAAAAAAAATAAATAAATAAATAAATAAAACACCAAATGCATACCCCAGCTTATAATCCTAAAAGGAGACTACGGAGATGCGAAAGTAGTAGTACAGGACCGATCTTCTTTGTGATTCAGTTGTGAGAAGGTTGGTCACTCCAGATAATAATGCTTTCTGCGGAATTCCTGAAAAGGCAAAGACATCAGCTCCAGTCTACCAGAAAGTAAACAATAGATGGGTGCGCCGGAAACAGTATCCAAAAGCTCTATTTTACATATTATACTTGCCTATGTGAAAACTTAAAGGAGCTAAATCGCTAACATTTGGGATCTAGAAATTGAGCCAAATGGGTCGCAACGCATATAATAATGTAATCTGATTGTATATGAACTGATTTACATTCAATTGTTTCCGTTTTGACTCTAATTTCAAATCAGTTATGTCCAGCGAAATACGGCATGAGTCTCAACCGAATAGAAATTTCTAGCGTCTGGTAATTCCAGTCTATTGCGCATGCTCTCCAGATAAGTTATGGCGTCGCCGTTTGACATTAGTTGTGGAATATGTCTAGCCTCGTTCTTTCTGGTCACTTATTACAAATGACGCTGAAACGCACTATGGTACACGATTCGTGTACCAATGGTAAAATGTGTATTTTGTCTTAAATATTGGATATCAGAAGCCCACCCCTTCCCGGTAAGATAACAACATCAATGTTGATTTG